ACACCGGAAAGCAATATAGTGTAAGGTCTATGAGGGAAATAATTGGGTCGCATCCTAAAAACATTGTTGAGTTTATATAACATAGCTAGTTATTCGTATATGAGTCATTGTATCATTATAATTCTGATAGTGAGACTATATTATTATATCGACTCAGGTTACCTCAGTTTAAGTGCCACACCAAACTGTGTTAAATACCTTGGCCGAAAAAGGCAATCTCTTGTTCATGCAAATGCAAATATCGGCCTCAGATTAAACCACTTTAACTCATTAAACCTCTTGAAATAACTAACAGCATGGGCATACTAGGAGTGTCGTCCAATTAATACACTTTTGAAACTACTCTCATGCAGTGTAAATTCAGTTGAGAGTTTTTGATAACTGATAAATATAAGTTAGCGGAATATATTGTTGAGAGTTTTTGATGAGTATAAGTTAGCGGAATATATTGTTGAGAGTTTTTGATGAGTATAAGTTAGCGGAATACATCTATATGTTAGAGGCTCAACGATGAGCTGATTACGGTAAGACGAAGATCAAGTTGGAAATCCGCCATTAAAGGTGGTGCTGAGAGCACTCGTAAATTGGCCTCGATCAGAAATTGGACTTATTATACCGAAGCCATTTTGGCAGGCTATTAAAACTAACCAACAATTTTCACATGAGAATCAAACATTGTAATTCGAAAACATTTTCTACTGCAACTTTAACAAAACTTTAAATGAGATGTCGCCTACATATATACTGCATATAGGTTAATTGATTCAGAAGCTTTTCGGAAAAGTCAGCTTTATATTAGTCAGCGAGATATGCGGTGCGAAACCTGGCGTTTTGCGGCCAAATTCAAAGCAGGTTAACTGTATATTTAATTATTTTCTTTTAATTCCTCTCAGCTTTCCTGGTATTCACTGTGTTTTGGCAACAAGCCGTGTTTGGTCGGCCATCACGTCGTACGCCAAGAGCGGCGAAAGCTTGCAGCCCGAACGCCAAGTTGAAACAAGAGTATTCGAACAATCTTCAAATCATGAAGACAAACATGGAAGGATTGTTTCGCCTGGCGGTAGTAAGCGATATTACTTTTAAGCTTTCTCGCTTTATAGCGCAATAAAAAGCAGTATAGCATATAACTATATGACACACTCGCTGTTTTGAAACTCTGCAAAAGCTATATCTGGTTAATTTGTTAAAATATTTGTCTATTATTCCAGAAAAGCAAGCCTACGCAGCCGACAATATCTTTCCCGCCAAGTTATCTGCTGTCTATCAACACTAACACGAAGGTATGTTTGGTTTATTTATAAAAAGAAATGTCTACGATAACAAGTATTTTGAATAAAACTACTTTTGAAGTAATGCTAGCGTAAAATTACATTAGTATAAATAAAAACGTATCAGTACCGTGCCGTGGGCTAGAATTCTTAAATAAGATGCAAACTGCGTATCAATTTTACTGAAATCTACCGCTAGCTAGCATAAATATCTTCACAATCTATTGCAACAAAGGAATATGTTTTATGTTTAGTAGTATATATTCCACGAGCCTAGATTTCTAGAATTGCAAGGTATATATTCTAGAATTTTATAGAATTATAGCTACAATTGTTGGTCAAAGGGGAATTTTGACACAATCGTCAAACATTCTAATAACTTCTGTTTGTCAATATATCTACTTCACAAAATACTTATTCTTCGCCTCGTTGTTTATAAGTGAATCTTTTAGAAATAGAAAGTTTTATCGTTTTCTCTCAACCATTTGTGAAACAGACAATAGACAGAATTGATGCGTACTTCAAAGAGATGGACAAATACACAGCTTACTTGTCCCCAGCTGGCAGCATTTCAGTCGCTCATGGAAACTTGCTACAAGCTATAAAAAATGTGGTAAGTGCAAACTTTATCAAGGAAAGGAAAATTCATGCATGTACATTGGCTTTTTGGCATGAACTCTGACTTGCTAAAAGCGGCGAAACGGAACGATACCGCTGTTACTGATTAACATTCTCAGTTTCGTATCGTTAGTTTCAGCGGTTTTGTCGTTTCGTTATTGATTTCGTTTCCGCTGAATCAATGCATTGATTTCGTTTCCGCTGAATCAATGCATGTGCTTTGTTTCGTTTCGGTGGTCATGCATTGTGCTCACCATGTTACGCGGATATTTTGTCAAAGAATTGTTAAGCAGATGTTGATGAGACTTAAGAGCAAATGGAGTTGCCAGTAAATAGTAAATTGTACAATCAAAAAAAAGATTTCGAATAAACGCATACAACCCGAAACGGTGATGCAAGGTTGTGTTCGCGTGTGTGAAACGATCCTAGATTTCGAAAATAAAATGCAGTCAGTTGGTGCCCTATTTCATTCCGTAAAAAGAAAACAAACATTTATCAACAGGAGGCAGCTCTACTTTAGTAAAAACCCTGTAGTTAATCGGTGGTTACTCCGGCAGCCTTACGAGTATAACTACCCATCCAGTAAAATTTCCCGAAGGTTGATCGAATGGCTGCAACAAGTCTTATCCATGCATTGACGTATATCATTACAGGGAACATCAGTTGAGAATTACTGTAATTGTCCATCAACTGGAAAACAATATTTCGTATCCACCACTCCGAGTACACCAGTCAAAAACCTCACCAAAAAAGACCTGCAGTTTGTCCATTACAAAGTTCGCACTTCCCTTCACGAAATTCACAAAAAGCGCAGTTCAAAGAGTCCTATTCAGTGTTAACTGCCGAACTAAAACTGCAAGTGAAATTTCGAAATTCTTAATATCTTTAATGTATAATTAGCAGTAACAATTAAAGAATAAAAGTGATAATAATTAGAACTAATAAGATAATAACCATAAATTATACATAATTAAAATTAATTATAAGGAATGTTAACTTATATTAAGTTCGAAGAAAGTAATTTATATTAAATGAAAATTCGTTTAAAACACTATACATAAATACTAAAATAATTAAATGACATAATAATTATATTTCATTGAAGTATTCGCAATTATATAATTAATTCATATGAACATATTTTAGTGTAATGATTATATTAATTAATAAAGCTCCAATTAAGAAACATAAAAATAACATATATAGCATGAAATGGAATTAAAGTATAATATTATTGTAAAAATGAGCATTTTCAAATACATTGTAAAATATAACCAATATATAGCGTTTATTTGCCCACTAGGGCGTGTCTGGCCCTGTGGCCTAATGGATAAGGCGCTTCCCTCCGGAGGAAGAGATTGTGGGTTCGAGTCCCATCAGGGTCGTTACGAAACACCAATTTTGCTTAACCATCAAATACCGCAGACATTTTCTCCTTGAAATGAAGATAAACTTCCTGCCTAATTTATCAGGGAGTTTACTAACTTCGTAGAAATGTACCAGAGAGAAATCGGAACTGAGATTGACTAATAGACTCTCCCCAGGCCACCAATTAAATTAGCATATTTTAAGTAGTTTATGTAGAAAGTTATCAGTTATTTATAAGAAAATTTACCATTTTCATTTTGAATTTTTGATATAATTTTTTTCCCACAATATAATTGAAAATATTGAAAGGTTCAGGAAATGGCGGAAACACTTGTTCGTGAAGAATATGATATGGGTGAGTTATGCCATACATCTCACGCTTTGCTGGTGGTAAATGTGAAAGTGTTTGAAAGTTGATATGAAACTATCAACTATGCCAAGTCATACAGATATAGTCACACAATTATTAGTGGAAATTGCGAGTTTTATCTAGAAAATTAGGCTAATTTTAGGATGAGGTAATCTCTTCTCAGGCTTCCAGGCAAATATTGCCAAATAAGCATTAGTTCAACAATTGTCGGTGAACATATCCATCTTCAGCCCTATTACTGTCGTAAATCGTAATCTTTAATTTTCGATCGAAATCTTTCTGATGTTATTACATAAAAGGTTCCAGAAATGCCGGAAACACTTGTGCGTAATCCATCTAATCTGGGCGAGTTTAACGTCCACACATCCCACATTAGAGGTCAGATAAACGTAATAATACAACAAAGTTGATTGAAACGCGATATGTTATCGCGCTAAGTCATCCACCGAGTATAGCTTATTGCGATGCCAAGCTTTCGCAAAGAAAAATACAAAACGCGTGTGTCTATTAATCATGACGTCAAAAAACTATTAGTAACAAAAAATGTAACCCATGGATAAACCATATTTTTGCTTCATCTTGAGGGTACTGCCTGTGACATGCGCCATATGGTAGCCGGTGAAATGCGATTTGACTCCTTTGAGAGAAAAGGGATATGAACGCATAAGAATTTAACTATTTAGTTTAATCTGTTTGCTAATATAAATAAAGCTCTGATTACACTGGCCGGATTCGCTGGTAACGACATCTTCGCTTGCCGATAGGAAGCGATGGAACACGTTGTTTCGCACTGATAAGTACTTATTTGCGCCTCTGACAATTAAAACTTCGCAGCCTTTCAAAAGTTTCAATATCTACCAAATCTGACCCTTTTCGATAGCAATGTGCATAGAAAGTGATGGGGTCATAAGTGTCATCGCTGCTCTTCAGTTTAGATTTTGATTTAACAAAATAATAGGTGCACATAAAAACGCATTGTACATCAATATTTCCAATAGATACTACAGCTTTACCGCTTTACCCTGTTGTGTTTACAACTTCTATGGATTAGAATAGGTGGACAAGACAGCATATAGGCTTTTATAACGATTAACGGTTATACAATTCAGTTTATATATATAACGCTAATCATTATGGAAAGTCACGGTTAAATGTCTAATGTCTAATGTCTAATGTCTAACGTCTAACATCGCTCGGATCTCTTTCCGTCTTCAAAGCGGAGTTCGCAGATAAACATGGCAATTTTGAGTCGCGTGACAAATGCTAATTTGCGTAATTGTTACCGCCCTTTGAAATGCATTTATAAAAATAAGTTGTGTAACTTGTGTTCACCGTAATAGCTGTACGATAATAAAAACCAACAAACCAACCAGCAGTGAATAGCTCTGTTTTATTATAAATATAGTAGCATAGATTGGATAACAGTTTACTTTAATTCGTTAAATACTGCTTAATTATATCTGTAACAGCGAGTGTCCGAGGTCGCTGAATGTTGTTAGTTCTTAAATTCAGACATTTACTATGTAAATAAGGAATATTGAATTTAAAATCAGCGTTAAAAATAAGCACAAGAATACGACATTAAATACGCTACTCCAGAAAGCCACGGCCAAGTAAAATTACTTTAAAATAATTCATCAATTCCTTTTCGACATATTTTGACTTCAAAGATTAAACCTAATGTATTTTCAATTCATAAATCTGTTTTAAGACAAAGACACAAAGCAACCTGTTGACAATGGCTGTTTTGTATGCTCGACTGGACAATGTCTAGTGCTGGGTGTTTATTTCACACAGGCTTTCAGACAAATACGAAATTCGTTCTTCAATTTGTCGCATTCAGACTTGTACAACCTGTCCTATTAGTCTTTCAATGCACCCTACGTGGGGGAAAAGTATGAACACTGAACAGGGCCCTTGAACCGAAAAAATATTACGGGAAATTGATTTGGTCGTTCTTATTGATTTGATCATGTTTATAGTCGTCTTCCGCTGAATATCTTGCATCATGCGATAGTGTTCGCATGCAAGATAAACATATCTACATGTCAGTTGCTGGCTCGCTCGGGAGCATCTCAATACGCGATAATCGTTGCTTATACCGCAATTGCTGATCGTCCACTTCATCGCTAGACTCGCTATTGTACCTTTTCGTATTTTTCTTCGAAAATCTCGAGCGTATCGACGAATAAACCCGACTCGCGGAACCTTGTCTGCGCGCGATTGGCTCATTGCGGAAACTGCGATAAATTGAAGCGCGTCTGTTTAGAATTGACTCGTTCACTCGCCTCGCTTCTTCTGAGTGATACGCCACAGGATCAGTCCTTGTCAGGACACAATTATTGTACAAACGAGCCTCAAGAATGTCTTCCAACACCCGTCTTGCCGCTTTCTCGCCGTATAAGCCCGTGAATTTGAACTTACATTTACCAGCTGTTGCCGTAAGCATCAGTTTGTTTTTATAGCAAATGACCGCGAGGCCGCGGAAGGAGAAATGTTTTTTCAAATAATTCGGTTCCTCGACGCTGTTCAAGTTGAACACTTGTACGCCTTCTTGAGAAACTGAAATTTCGACCTTCGTCTTGTCGCTGCAGTCTTTCGCCTGGTGCTTTAACGTATTGAAACGTGTAATAGTCGAGGCTACACTAAGCAACGCGAGCCACGATTCTTTCCTCGTCATACCGTAATGGCCTTCGTGTCTTTTAACGACGTCGTCTTCATAAGCTCTCGGGTTCACATTCCCGGCGCTGCAGTTCACGCCGTTAGGATGCTCGAAAAGGGAGCCCAAGAAGTCTTCGAGATAACCCGGTGTGTGTGTTTTAGGTTTGTAGTCCCCTATGACAGCCTGCGCAAAATACGAATCAATTGAGGCGTGTTGTGAAGGTGTACACATGAACAAGCCACGATTAATATCGCTCTTCACTTGATAACAACAAAGCTTCAGACAGCTCTCGGATACGCTTTCATTCGCTTCGGGATAAATCCTCACGGCCAACTGCAGTTGATAAGGCTTTTTCGATACGTGCTTCTTCACGGGCTCCGAGAGAACAAGCCAATTCATTTGACCGTCTGAGTCAGGATATTTAAGGCCAAAGTACTTCAAGTCCACATCAGGGATTTCCAGCCGTTTGCCGACACGACGTAATACCTCAACTCCCATTAAAGCTTTCTCCCCTTCGAATTTTTCTTCAACGCAAGTGTTGTCCATTATAACAACCCTCGCCTCAGAATTGGCGACTTGCTTTCTTCTGAACGACGAGCGAATCGTTCTCCCTCGAAACGACATCGTAGTATTTACGACTTTCACCGTTCGATCGAAGCGAGTCTTTATGAGACGGTAAAACAACGCTTCTCAGCGATCAAAAAAGTCTTTCTACCAAATGCGATACCCACGAGAAAGTAAATATATGTTAACCTTAAATGGTTTTGCTTTAAAGGCGGAAATTTTTGCGTCTTGCATCACAGAGTGCAAACTTTCATATCGGTGTGTGAACGCTGTCACGATATTGTCTGCTTTACTATACTAAGATATTTACAAAATGCATTTTTGGAACGTCACATGTCGTAAATTGCGACAATTTCCGGTGACGTCATCGCTATCATGTTTCTTCTAGTTTTAGCGGGAATTAAACAGAATATTTGCTTCATTAATTCATCCTAGTGATTTAAAACAATAAGGCAATATCCTACTGGTTTCCTGCAACGCATTCATGTCGATATTCCGATTATTTAAAATATTTTGAAATCAAAAAACGACGATTGTGCGCTAATTCTTTGCGAAATATGTTGATGTTTAACGACGTCAAGCAGAAAACAGGTCAAACCTGCCATAATTTATCGATGGGCGGCAAACTTCACATAGATATTACGTGTTCGACAACACATGATTTTAGAATTCCCATAATCAAAACGCAGCATCTTGGAAATGCGATTTTCATCGGAGACTGTCGAGTTACCAATAGTGAATTGCGGTCGGAAGTTGAAATTTTTTCTTGAAATGGCAAACCAAACCCGAGACAGTGTCATCGTAAAGTAAAGTACATTTCAAACGATTTTCAGGTTATTTTGGTTTTATACAAGTTTCGGGTGTATAGGATTTAAATTGTAAACAAATATGATGGTAAACTTGAGTCCACGGTAAAATTATTTCGAAACCCGCAGAGCGAAACTCGTGCTAGTTATAATAGTCAATAAAATATACTGAGGTGGACAGCCGGTGTGGCCGCGTAGTTATCCGCCTACCGGATGTAGAATTAAAAAAATTTTTTGAGAGAGGATAACAAAAAACATTCACACATACATTACTGTTAGTTCACGTGTTATTCAAAAGCGATAAAAACAGAAAGGACTGTCTCATAGGAACGTTTACAATTATCCATAATATTTGGTTAGTTGTTGAGACTTGTCATATATTTGACGACAGTCCGCCATATTGGATTTATGTTCGCATTATCAATAGTAAGAGGCCATAGATCAGACAGTTTATAAAAGCAATTTAAATAACTCAGTCTATTTGAGCGCCGGATTGTTACTCTATAGAACGGGCTTTCAGGCATTAAAAAGCAACAGACAAATTCGGACATAGCCCTGTTTACATCGTTGCCAACCAGCTGTAAATAGCCTGAAAACATAGAACAAAACACCTGAAGTAAGCATGTCGCAATGCCAAGATCAGACCAATATTTATTTATTTGCCTTTTCGATTCATTTTCTATCCTTTGAAAAAAGTTTGTTAAAAGCCTCGAAAGTACTGAAACTAACGAAACTACTTAATTTATAGATAATATCACTGAGTGGAGTAAGATTAGGGAATTAGATAGCAGGATCTCCGAAGACTAATATTCGAGCATCGAGACGAATATCTGATCCTAATCATTCCCGCCTTTGATTCAATCTTAACGTCATTATGGAGCTTTACAACTATTCAATTAAGGTTACGTCTTCAAAACATGACCTCAATTGTGAACGCGTAGGGGATTATGGGATATTGCTTATTCAGACACGCGAAGCCGAAATTGGTGTTTAAAGAATGCTTTGGGCCATGTAAAAGATTTTTAACTTGTGAGAAGACCTTGCCTCTAGGCAAGATCGTTATTTAGACGCCATCTTGAATCAGCAGTATATTAAATTTCTACAGTTAATTAAACCGTAATAAAGTCTCGATTTAACTATAAACTACATTCATGCAGATCCCTTCGCCATTTCAAACCAATCCAACAATTTTCTAAGCAAGCCTGACCTTATGAACTGACTCAAATGAGTCGATAGCTAATACTTCTATCATTCCGGCCACAATTAGTCATAAAAGTGACGTAAACATCACTTTTTTTATTCTGGACTCTATCAACTTCAACGGTCTTCAAAACATCAAAACATTTCCCGTTGAAGTCTCGATTTAATAGCAACTGACGGAATGATAAGTATGCCAAAATTGCGCATGTATACTTCATTAAGCTTGTAAAAGAATTCTTGCTATTAAATCCTCTTAAAACCCTATATTATTTCAAGGTAACCCCTTGCGCGTTTGATCATTAATATATATAATTGCCAATCTATGTTTGACTGACAGCGTTTTCTACCAACTCAAATAAAGATTTTATAATCAATATAATTTATTTTCATATTAACATCGTGTTTACAGCAGCCTATAGCTATATATAGTGATGCTTAGTGTTATCATATATATTATTTTAGTTTAAACCTTCCTTCAAGAGAGTTAAACTACATTTCAATTGTCGCATTGATGGTAACATCTCATGGAAATCAGAATACATTCGGAGTACCCTAAATGCTGTGGATATAAACATGGATCGAGAAGCGACAACAGGAACATGCACACTTTTTTCCTTTTTTTCACTGAAGTCAGTGCGCAACCTCAGAGCGGTATCTGGTCTTTGTCAAAAATGATTGATCATTTAAAGTACATGAACAAATACTAATGACAATGTTTCAAAGACACGATCGGACATGTTTACTCCCTTTGTCTCCGAGAATTTTGTTAAACATCCTAGCAAACGTTTGTATAGCAACGGCGTCCCAAAATGCATGCATGTGGTTACTTTATACAAGGCTTCCTTCCAAATCCTTCATACATCCCAGTTCTTCCAAAAATAAAGAATACACTAATAGCCCGTGTAGGCTTGGTAGCCAAAGTAAATATTAAAAAACCCCGTTCATTTACTTAATCAGCTATCAATATTTCAAGACACTTGAACATCAATATTTCAAGACACTTGAAGTATTGGCTTTTACCTGAGCATGCATGAATTACTGCAAAACACCAATCTACATATATACAAAGACTGTCCATCTATATAAAGATTTGACGTTGACGTTTGGACAAGCGAGTAAATGAAAGTCGCACTCGAGTCAATTGTGAAAAGGGAAAGTAAAAATGTACTCGAAATGTTCAATTGAGTTCGTAACAACACAATGACTAGCTATATTGGTCGATGTTCATACTATTCCAGTTAAAAATTACGACTCGTGTGTTGACCATGCAAGGGCTCGCAATTTTACTGCGACCACTACACAAGTTCAAAACGCGGTTTCGTCTGATGTTATCTAAAGGCTTATATTGGCAGTCTGTGAGCTGGAATCTCATTTACTTTCAATTTGTGATCTTTTCCAACCACGAAATGACACATTAGACAACCAAAAGTAAATCGTCTTCATTATTCCTTCGAGTAATTTCTCGACAGATTAATTCGGTGGGGAAAATAGCTATACACTGATCATTCACTACATCACATTCAGGCAAAAAAATGGTAACAATTTCCGTTTGTCGTAAAAAAGTATACAAATTTGCAAACATTGCAGTTTGCAAGGCTATGTTTTCCGTATTTTACAACATTTCGCAGCCAAACTTTACATTTCCACTAATTAAAATACGCTCTTTTCAGCTGTGGGGATTTAATTGCATTTCCATGCATAGATCAAGAAGTATATAGTCTATAATGCAGAAGTCCATTAAAAAAGCAAATATTCAGTATATTTCACGGCTCCCAATACCGTCTACTATCATACCAAACTGTTTATCTGCCGTAAATCAATAAACATATTTTAAAAAGTACATGTCAACATGTTTGACATGTTTTCCTAACTTAACGTCGTCCAGTATCTGAAGTTGCGTTACAGACAGAGTTATTCCTTTTATTTGATGTAAAATAATTTTGCAATTAGCAGAGTGAAAATTACTGAGAGCAGAGGCGAAGGAACAGCTCAAGGTGCGCCTGGAGGTGCGCCAGGGGCATGCTCCTTTCTAACTTTTTAAGTAATGTAAAAAGTGTCCTTTTAAGAGTGTATTTTTTGGCTTCAAGTGCCCTAAAACGTCAAGCTGGTAGATTACCCGATATCCCCTTATTAGGAGATTTATAGTTATTAGACTTATAATCTTACTGTTCCTATGCAAGCGTTCGCAGTGATCTGAATAGTAGACAACGAACAATAGAGTATTTTAAAGCACACTATTTTTAAGGCCGTATGAAAAGATTCCTAACACCACGGCATGCATGCAGACATGCGTAAGCAGCGAGCCGACCAATATCGCCGCCATTGGTATTTCTATATGCGCGCTTTGCAGGTCCAGTCCTCGTATTAAGATCAGCGCTTGGAAAAGGCGGAAAGTCAGGGAGGCCAAATGTGAACGGAATCAAGCGAGCAGGAAATCACTCGATTTATTTTTTCCTTGAATTTTTTTATTAAATTTTCGCCTTTGAGTAAATAATTACTGCATTGTAATTATTAATAAGCCTCCTATTCTGACAAAGCATTTTCACATGAAAATTTAATTTAAAAATGTTTTCTTAATACGAATATAGACATATTAATAAAATTTAAAGGCGACAGAACAAATATACTGCAACAAAAAGGTAAACAATGCTTGAAGCATAAAGCAAGGCGGATATTAAATTGCTTGCAACTAAGCCTGTTTCAGGCGTCAACTTTTTCATGTCTGAATGAATCAAGCAGCAAATTGAAATTAATAAAACCTATTCGGCAAATGAAAGGACTAATTTAGGCAAGGCAGGGCTTAAAAAAACAGACGAAAAGCGTCAAGGAGGGGTCATAAGTAGTCGGTTTTTTAAGTCAAAGCCAGCGAGCTATAAGTATCCCGAAATCGCAATCAGTTCGGTCCGGTCCGCTGTAAACTGTATATAGTTTGCTAGTTGAAATTGGTTTTCCACTGGTCGTGCGAATCGGCAGTCTATCATCTACATGCATTTATAATATAGCATTTATAGTACGCGCGTGCTGATTGGTCGAGAAGCGTGTTTCTATAATGTTTCTATAACTGTACTACGGGACTTTTCCCGCAGAACTTTTCAAGCGAAGCGATGTAATGAGAATTTGTAATTGAATCGAATCATAATATTTGTACAAAATCTTTTTATTGAGTTATATTATAAAAGAAATAAAAAATAGAAATAAAAAACAGAAATAAAAATTCCTGTTTTTCTATACAGTTACGGAAACACTTGTGGGAGTTTGGGAGTAATCGAAATAAACGGTGGAAAAACACGCCCTACGAGCTCGTTTTCCCACTGATTATTTCTCGTTCTCCCAAACTCTCACGCGTGTTCCTATATAACTGTATAGAAACACGGAAAATGTTTTTTAAATACAGTACGAAAATATGTATACCCGCACCCTATAAATCGCATTGCGGTTTTGCTGGATTTTCCGTTTTAATCGGTAATTTGAGTGGGTGGCAACCATTCAAATGCTCGATTGTATATCATTGTCTGTGCCTGCGAATGATCAAAATTTACCTCTTTCTTACAGGGCCCAATATCAGACATACAATGAACCAGCTGTTTAATGTTTGTGTTGATATTAACTTCACTCACTGCGATTCCTGTGGGTAAATTTCGAGTTGACCGGCCCCAATGAACTACAGGTGAAACCCAATAATTTATTGTATAAATCGCACAGCTCGTTCGCTTCTATAAAACGGGGCTAAATTTCTATTTAGAATCTTATGAAAGGAATCATTCATTGCCACAAAGCCCACCAATGTTCAACCTTTAAGCTTGTTACCAGAAGTTCCTATACAAGACGCTGAGCTACCTGTTAGTAAACTTTCTGAGCTTAATTAATGGTCCAATTTTCGATTCAAATTAGTGTAGATACCATTACCCCGTTGGCCTTGCGTGCGCTATGACGATATAGGGTTCAAAACCAGGCTTTTAAAAGAAGGTAGTTCACACGGCGATTTTTGCGATTTTCTTCTTTTGATAAATATGATCGAGTGGATAAGTCACGGTTGTTCAAAAAGAAGCGGTTATACAAACAAATGATTTAAACATTCAAACTATCGGTTGTATCCACACTGCCAAACTGAAAAACTTGCGAAAACTTCAAGTGCCTAGGCAAATTCTTTTTGGCAAATTTCATGTGACATGATTTTTTCCCCTAATAATGATATAATATAATAATAGTGTAACTTGTTGGAGATTTGTGACAGCAATGTATTTCGAGAGGAGATCCAATGCTAATTTCTGATCTAAAAGAAGCCATAGAGAGGTCGTGCTCGTGTTAAGAGGGCTTAGGATTAAAACAAAGGTTCGTCTGACACAGACTGTATAAGGAGATTAGGACATTGCCCGTTCGGTAACTATTTTGAAATATTGTTGAAAAATAGCAAGTTTTTAGTGAAATATAGTTATATTATTATAGCGTTCACTCATTATTAAGATACATTATATATTGTATAGACAGTATTTCATAAGTCTTTCAACAAACAAGTGTTATTACGATTAATACGTCAAGATTTGTCAGTAATGTCATCTCGGTAAATATTTAATGCGATACTAATGCATTCCAATTCACTGTTTGTATAAAAATTGCATGCTTACATGACGTTTTTAAAGGGAACGTAAGGTCTGTGGGAGCAGAATTGGAGGATTAAAAATTAATCACGCAGCTGTGCCGTTCATTTTGAAAAACAGCGGAAACCGCGGCTTTTTAAAACCGAATAAAATTGAGTAAAATTATATAATAAATTATTATGACAAAGCGTGGCGCATTAGTGGTTGTGTGATACAATATTATTAATATCGACGGCAACCCTCGAATTCGTGACAAAAATAAAAATAAACATTAATTTAGAAAAGACGCAATTTTTTCGCACGCGCTTACGAAGTTAAAAAAAAAAAGTTACTTGTGACACAAGTGAAGACAGATCCATAAATGAACGAAATAATTTAGCAAGCTTTACTGATGTTTTTCGTATAATATGGCGTGTCCGTTCCGAACTTGCCTGGAGCCATCTATCAATATTTTACAAGATAATCTTTCGACCGTTGAGAACCAAAACAATCCAGACTTGAACAAGAGTTGAATAAAAGGGAAAGTTAGATGAGGCTGAGAGCAAGAAATCTTGCAATTTTGTACGAATAGTGCGATATATTCCTAACTTATATGCTTCGGTCGAAAAATACTTCCAAAGTGTCTCTACAGGATGCCGTCTTCACTTCAGAAAAAGTCGCCGCATTTATATTGAACCAGGGTTTTGGGGATACCACATGAGAGGGCCCTAATCGTTTAGAAGACCCAACAATCCAACATCGAGGAACCTCGACTGTATTTCGTGTTCATGCAGTTTGTTCCCAAAAGGAAGGTTGCTGCCTACGCCACAACTTCCGAAGACAAGCAACTTTCGTACACGCGGGTGGCAATTTAATCTCCATAAACCATTTCGTAATGTTAGAGGCATAAAACACTGCAGCAGGTTTAATATTAAAAAATTGAAAGTCATTAATAAACAATTAAAGTTCGAAAATACTGGTTGAACCAATCATAAAACGTTCGAATCAAAAGGCTTGCGTTTGACGTGGTCTCGTTGGCGACCAGCATTTCTAATTAGTCAAATATATGGCTTGTTTGCGAATCATTTAAATCTTGTCAGACGATCCGTGTCGATTCAGTGAACACGTCCAAACGCGACGAAGTATTAGTGGCAGAATTTATAATCGTTCTCCATACTTGTGTGCGATCATCGTATTAACCTCGACGCGATATTGGTTTTCACACATCAACAATATGCTTGTTGCACTTGAAAACGGAAATAGGGAACAATATCCAAACAGGTTACAAAGAGCTACTTCCTTGATCACAATTCAAATGACGTCGACTATCCAGCCGAGCAAGTAAGGGCAGAAGACTTAACCGTCTGATTTAGCACGTTTTTCAAACAGCGCCGCTACAAGACAAGATTAAACAATATACTTGATCATCCAATCACCGTAATAGTGGGAATTGAACACTCTCGACGGCTACCACAGAGTACAGTGTATATTTATCTGCATGAAAACTAAACTTTGGAGTCGCGTTCAAAATGTTTCGACTCTGTTTGATTACGCTAATCGTAGAGTGTTGTATATTTACTCAGGTGGCCATAGTCTGTAACGCTCGAAATCATGCGACATGCGACCCGCCGAAAAGGATAAGGAACAATTTTACAGCGGACGTTATAATTGGAGGTTTGATACCAGTTCATGCGGGAGGAGAATTGAAACTTAACGAACCCGGGGTGATGTGGGTCGAGGCTATGATGTTTGCGATTGACGAAATAAACAAAAATGCAAGTTTGTTACCCGGGATTACACTTGGTTTCGATATTCGCGATTCTTGTAACAAAGGCGACCTCGCGCTCGGCGCTGCCTTGGATTTCATGCTAACACCAAGTAACCCGGGGTCGTATGCGAGAAAGTTTGACAACAAGAACAAATCGAGTTGTTTTTGTAATACGAACGCGAGCGGTAATAGCACTCCGCCAGTAATAGCCGTGGTCGGAGGGGCTTCGTCGAGGATTTCAACGACAGTTTCGCCCGTATTTTCCACAGATAATATTCCTCAAATAAGCTACTCTTCGACCAGTCCAACGCTTAGTGACAAAGGAACATATCGCACGTTCTTCAGGACTATCCCGTCCGATCTCTACCAGGCACAAGCAATCGCAGATATCTTGGAGCATTTTAACTGGACTTATGTCTCGATAGTTGTCTCGGACGATGAATATGGTAGAAACGGCTTGATTGCGCTGGGGAAAATTCTTAAGGAGAAAAAGTTTTGCATTGCCGAAGCGGCTTCGTTCTCCACGAATTCGAACGAGGAGATGACGAAAGACGCTGAACACATCATCCGGAGGTTACAGGAAGACGATCGACAAAGGGTTGTGGTGCTATGGTGTGAACGACCCGCAGCAATCGGTTTTCTCCGAGCGGCTACCGGCAAGCTATCGAATATAACGTGGATCGGAACCGAGTCGTGGGGAGACAACGCACAAGTGAAAAACGAAGTCAATTTTGAACTTATTCGCGGAATGCTCGGGGTGGTGCCGTATTTGGGAAGGCACGCGAAATTCGATGAGTATTTGAAAACACTCACCCCCAAAAGCAAACAGACCAATCCATGGTTGGGCGAATACTGGTCGAAGAAGTGCGCGACACCGAACTGCATGGACAAAGTGCTACCAAATGCTCTCTCCCTGCCTCCAAATAAATACGCGAACGTTATGGACGCTGTTTATTCTATAGCTTATGGTCTTCAAGGTTTAAAAAATTCTCGACCCGACTTAGATATCACCGCGTTAGACAAACAAATGCTTCAAGAGCTGCTGAAGCATATAAGGCAAGTGAATTTTCACGCACTGTCTGCGAAGGGGAGCTTTGTGTTCACGAAATCGGGCGACCCGGTTTTCGGGGCATATTTGATCAAGAATTTACAAGGTGATGGAAGGAATAAGGAGTTTGTGCCTGTGGCGCAATGGAATGGAGAGACGTCCGAGTTAGAATTTGAGGAGAACGTCGGAATACAGTGGAATCAAGGGGGAGCATCGGTTCCTCTGTCGAGATGTTCTGAGATATGTCAGCCGGGTTTTGGATTCGTCAGGTCAAGTAGAGAGTGTTGTTGGACGTGCCCCAAATGTCAGTTCGGATACATCAAATCGACAGTTGGTAAGTAGTTGTTATCTTAGAATCGTCAATTAGTAAAAAAACATCGTTAACACAAATGATATTGGCGCATGATGATCGCGTGATACGACCTGAGAGATAATAAAAGCGACCCCATGGAAAACCGGTCACGTCTTTTCGAAAATAAAATTTAGATAGCACAAATTATCAGGGGAGAAGTGTTTTTCGGATACGACAAAATCTCCAAACTGAATAATGAATCGTTCATACTTAATTCTGGCGAGGTACTTGGTGTCATTACAAAGAACGGATGAGGCACAATATAACTCATTATTAACTCAGTTGATGTATATTTGTTGAGATATTGTTCGCTTTAGTATCACCCGTTTATTGCATTTTCGCAACGGAAAACACATGGTTCTGGACCAATAACCTTTCGCTTAATCGCTAACACAAACACAGCATGCCTCGCTTTCAGGTAGTATAAATTCGTAGTACAGAGAAACCGCCGGAGAACTCGGAGGGGGGGGGGGGATTCGGATGATTCGTTGACAAACTTTCTGTATATATACGGTTGAGTTTACCTAGAATATCCAGCACCGGTATTGTATAAAACTCCCGAACGAAATCGCAGTTAACATCAAAATAAACGATTCTAATTGGCTAATTCCGCCACTAACTATGGTTAAAAGTTAAAACTTATCCACTTTTTTCACACAACCTTTTTCTTTGTTAGACGATAATAAGCTTGCCTGCGGGCTATGTATGTATATGCACCAAGCATTTGTGCTGTTCTCAAGCAAATCGCATTAAGTTTGCCGACAATTTGTTTTCGCGGAAAGCTATGAGAATCCTAGGAATTGTAAGCGCGCTGTCGCCCCTTCTGATAAACAAAAAAATCTCGAATATAGGGCACCTTACTTGAACCCTTTGAATGTACAATTACCTTCGTGCTGTATAGTTTGGAGCACTGAGAGGCGATGGTAACCCCCCTCATTTAGCTCAAGTGACTGTAGGGGGTAACACTAGACGTGCATGCTAACCTACCTATATACGGTCAGGGGACGTTTATACATGCAGGGTGTCGAAATGAGAAAAAAACGAAATGCCCACTTTAACATGCCTTAATGCATTACATAATATTGAGCCCCACGATTTAATTTTTACTTAGGAAGAAAGAGTATAAGTCATCGAGCTTTCTAACATTATCTTTTTTATCTCATAATGACTAATCGTATGTTAAAAATTGTCAGCCGACTAGGCCGGCTAAGAATTGAACGAATGGCTTTTTGTCTATATTGTTAAAAAACTGATACACACGACTTCGTGAGGTAGTTTTTCGAGTGATCGCAATAAACAGTAGGTCATAGGAACAAAACAAGAAAGAACTTTCAAAATGACCAGAAGCATTGAGCTTTTTGCGTCATAGCGCTTGTTCGAAAACGTCACAGAAAACTTTTATGTCGATATTTGAAGTCATTAAGAAATGCCATTCAAAACATCACTACGCTTTACCTCTTAGAGACCTATGCTCAAAATTTCTATTTTATCGCTGAAAACTTTCCTACTTTTAAAACCTTATATATTTGTGTATTTCTTTTGAAAAACATGCATGCACCGCAGTTTGTTCAGAATGGAGAAATCCTTTCGAGGCTTTTAAAATTCTTTTGGACTAAACGGATATACTAGGCTACTTTGAAGTGAATTTAGTATTACTTAAAACCCTTCAAATGGACATGCAATTCCTATAAGAAGCCTAGTTTAAAAAATAAAATTCATCACAGGTGATAAAAAAAGGGAAATTGACAGTTGTCTGGGGGGTGAATATAGAGTCAAAGGAACCTTTTCAAATTGCATGGAGAATAAAAGGTAACCTTGACTCTTTGAAATATGTAAATATCGCGTCTTTTAATTACATAAATTCATTCCATTTAAACAATTAGCCATGGAACATGGCCAAGTAAACCATGTTTGTGAGTGAATCGCTTCAACAACGATCGTGTTCATATTTACTGCAACCAGCAAAAATTGGACAAAAACATGGAAAAATTAACATCTGCGTTGAATGAATAATTAAAAACGGTAGACGAACATTCTCGAAGTGGTCGACACAATTTTTTTTAAAAAGCTCACGAAAGACTTGTGTGATTTAGAAAACTATTGTGATTTTTGGCACTCAATACTCGATGCATGTAAATTGGCTTCGAAGCAATAGCGTAGGTTCGTAGCCTGTCGGAGAACCTATAGTTGACTTATTTTTCCTTCAACTGTTCCTGGCTTGAATTTGAAGTGTGTATAATTCCACTCCAAATTAAGACCCTTTAACCCCCTAGACTTTCTTAAAAACGATCTGTAAGTGATAATGAAGGCCAAAACAGGGTGATCTATATAAAAGCACTGTAGTGTCCCTATTTCTCAGCGTGTTTTCGCGCTTGCATGGGTACGAGGCTAGAAATTGCGTGTGCCAATAACAAAGATCTTAGTGAGCAGTGAGAAGCGACTCTACAAGTATGAAGTGTTTGTGTTTGTTCCTCTATAATTAGAACGGAAACTTTTTATCAGTTACCAAGACGAAAATCTTATTCAACAAAGAAATATTTAGCTGCATTGTTTAATCTTTATAGGCGTATAAAACATCTTAGTAGCTACGAATCTGTTTAGCCCGGAAGTCTAACCAAGCGTCATTGAAACGTTTGACATTCAAAATTATCCACCGGTTCTTTGTACTATTTCCATGGTCACGATTCAAAAATTGTTTGAATTGTTTGAATTTGAATCATACATGCAGAAACATACAAAATTTATGTGTAGATATGTTTACTTATAGCTTTAGATTAAGGACGGGATCGTCAGACCTGAAAATGGCGAATGGATGGCGTAGCAGGTCCTTATTGCGCAGATCACATCATTTGTTGGCCATTGTTAGGTCGTTTTTTTGTGCAAGAGGCTGCCTTTTATGATTGCTTATGCTTTCTTTCCTTTGTGGTATTCAATCGTTTAGTTCGCGCGTAAACGTCTATGGCAATTATTCATTTGGTATTGGTGTTGAACTTGGCCTTTTTTAGACCACGGTTGATTAGACTATTAGATGTACAGCTGTTAATTATCATACATAGACAAAGGCAATATCAATATGGTAATTTTTTTGTGGTGATAATGGTTATATATATATATATATATATATATATTATCAGTTGTCGCAACATATTACTTATGGAGTCTAGCTTTGGGATGACGCAGATAAGGAATATTGTTCTGTGATAGACAGTGTCGAAATGGATTTTTTTTCTACTTCGAAATACGATATTAGCCCAAAATTTCAAAACTGCTAACAATTTCAAATCAGACTTAAGACACTTTATTGAACAAGCAGACAAATTTAAAAAGTGTCCTAAACTTACGTTTATATCACATAACTCGAAAGAGCTTCAATAATTAAGCAAGCTTTTGGTAGTGCAAAATAAGCAAGTTTACTAAACGTGACGGGTTAAGACGCTCTAAGCAAAGGTAGCCCAGTGTCCAGCTCCAAAATATACAAATATAGATCAGTGTTAAACTAAAGATGCCGAATTCTTAATTTCAGGAAACGAGGCTTGTTTTCCATGTCCGGATGGCTACATGTCAACCAGCGATAGAAAAAAGTGTGTTAAAGTTGAAGAGGACATTCTCGAGTGGAATTCGCCATTATCAATCGTCGTCATCGCCTCCAGCTTTCTTGGCCTCATTCTTGTTGTATTCATCATCGCCATCTTTCGAAAATACTCGGCAACCGCCGTCGTGAAGGCATCGAATCGCGAAGTCTCTTTGGTCCACTTGACGTGCCACGCGCTCGTCTTCTTGCTTCCGCTCTTGTACATAGGTCGCCCTAGAGCGGCAACCTGCATTGCGCGGCTAAACTTCTTCCCAGTCCTCTTCACATTCATCACGGCCATCATGTTCCTGAAGACGGACCGAATCGTGCGAATTTTTAACTCCAAGTCTCGGCTGACGAAACGTAGTCGGTTGCTTAGCAACAAGGTTCAATTCGTGCTGACGATTATCCTGACCCTAATCCCGGTCATAGGCACAGGCATTTGGCTCGCTCTCAGACCGCTGACCGTCAAGGTGGAACCGGTTGAGCCTAAGTACCTTGTATATTGCGAAAACGAGGAAGCGTGTCAGATAGTCCAGTTGGCCTATATCCTCCTCCTTGCTTTGTTGTGCACGTACGAAGCGTTTCACGCCAGGAAGCTACCAGAAAGTTTCAACGAAGCGAAGTTCATCTGTTTTTCGATGTTCGCGTTTGTTTTAATGTGGGTCGGATACATACCTGTCTGCATCGATATAACTGGGTCAACAAAACAATTCATGACCTGTCTGTTTATAATCCTGATCAACTTCCTAACGGTGATGCCAATCTACATGCCAAAATTAAACATCATTCTTATACATCCCGAGCACAATCGCCACGAGTCGTTTAGAAAAGCAACCATGAACACCTGCTTGAAAGAGGCGCGTCGACTATCCGCGGTCGGTTCCCCGAACGCGACGCCCGATCCGCAAAGATCGTCGGTGGTCAACCAACAAAACATCGCCAACGACGACGAGGACACCTCGCCGGAAACGGACAAAAAAATACGCAGCATTTCCACGCTTACTGACGTGTCGTTTGGCAGCAACGAACAGCTGGTTGCTCGCCATTTAGGACTTCCCGAAGCAAAACGCATGAGCAGTCTCATGCCGGAACTCGACAATGGTATGCTCGAAAAATCTATCACCAGCATGTAATAGAAGTATAGATTTGCTAAGGCCGGCTGTACAAAGGCTGAACAGCGCTAACCACGGAATAGGCCCATTAACAAACCAGAAACTCTAATTTAAGAACACCGAGGTTTATTCTAGGTTATACTGAACTATACGTATACTTTCAGAATAATTTAAAAAACCCACAAACGGCCTAGGGTAGCGCTTAGTAACCAGCTTCGTGGTGGTCTCGACTTGAAGTTATTTCAGCGACAATCGCGGAACAAAACAGCCATGTATATAGTTGTAGTGCATGTAGTGTAGGTTTTTAGATTCTTTACTTTTATAAGATTTTAATAGAAGTTTTAGCATATTTCGCGAATTATTTTTTAAGAAGTTACAAGGAGTGTTAAGAGCTGGCAGAAAACTAATGCTCTTTCCATGCGCGAATTGCCGAATAAGACTTAGGGCCTGTTTACATGGAGCGAGTTATCCCGGCTAGGCGAGGTAAAAAGCGCATCTTATCAAAGGCTTAACCTGATTAGTCTTTCATTATATGCAGTTTTCACCTCGCCTAGCCGGGATAACTCACTCCATGTAAACAGGCCCTTAAAACCCGGTTACCATCGCCGTCGGGCAAATTTCCTATGACAAGTTTTCGGTTCAAAGTTTTCTTTGTAAATTACACGCAACAATTTTTGTATCACAAGTTTTCAATGGCAACTTTTTTCCTCGTCTGTGTTCACTTGAGTAAATTTTTGGCAAATTTACTTTTTCGTTCCATTTAGGTCACATTTTTTACAATGACAAATGCACTTGTTGAAAAGCTAGGCTTCTAGCTTCTAAACAAACGTGTGCTCGTTGGATAATAATTATACCATCACTTGTTTATTAACACTTGACAATTTTATTTACAATTTTATACAGTTATTTACGCTTTCTTTCGAGCGAGCCACTGATGGTAAGCTTCCAGCGTAGCACTAACTGCGCTTCAAAACGGCTAGCTATAAAGCTATAGCTATACAAAGTTATAAAACAGAGATCTGTCTGGCCCAAACGATGACAAACACTGCATTACCAAACATAACACAAGAGTTGTTACTCAGGAAGGCTTAATGCTGACCATTACTACCTTACCTTCGGTACGTCATGTATGCAGTGTTATTGTGTTAGTAATCCTCTTGACTTTAATCTTGCTGTGTTTTCATGTCGTTTTTCTAGCCCAGTCCACTTCATATTTTCTAACCGGGTCTATATAAAATCAAGTAGGTGTTTGAATTGCAACTCCGATTGGATTAAAGTTCAGATTCGAATTAGGATTAATGTTGGGATTAAGATTACTGACCTTTTCTTGTCGTAAAATTTCTTGTTGTTGAAAAGTGCAACGTTTGTTTGTGGTTGATGAATGTCGAGTTATTGACTCGCGTTCTATGGATAAATGATATATGTCCAAAAAGACAAACTAATTGAATATAACACTACTTTTTTTAACCGGAACGAATATAATGCAGAATATCACGATAATTTGAAAGAACATTGCAAATTCAGTAGATATTTAGTACGACAAGCAGAGTTCAAAGTGTACGAAAATGCTACACAATTTGCAACCTAATTCAGTCTGGCAAAGAATGTGATTTATACCATCAATTTTCACGCAAATTTCACATGCAGAGCCTATACAATATTCTCTGCAGACAGATGCATCATACTGTAGTATGCTTACCAGCTCGTCTTTGCTCCAATTTCTGCCTAAGTTCTTCAACCTTTGGATCGTTTACTTCTGGTTTTACAGCTTTTCGTTTCTTTTGTTGCCTACCAAAGAAGGCAAAATAATAAAATTAACCTTTTGGTGTCATTTAGACTTCATATAAGCTTGAATTTTTTTTTGTTGCAGTTGCATCAACGATGGCACATTAATATACAGCACATGCGTTATCCAGTTTTTGTTTTCAGATCAGTGGTACCAATTAGTTTCGCTTTCTTACCTCACCATAGCTTCATTCTCCTGTTCTTCTCTACACTTGGAAATCTTCGCTAGAGTCTTCATTAGCATCTCATCTTTCTCCTGAAGAATACAATTGCATACATATCATATCTGACGCAGGTTAACATTTCTTATTTTAGTTCTCAAGTCATCAAATACACCGACTTACGACTTTAGATCTGAGGATATCATCTCGTTTCTTTTCAAGCTCTTCTTCTTCGGCAGTTTTTAGTAAACTCAATCTTTCCCTTAACTTAAGTAAGAGATTAGTTGAAATTAGGTCGAAGGCGATGGTTTTTGTGCTATATAAACAATGGTGTTGGATGTATCAGAATCCACATCCTGCATTGAAAGTCCTAGCGTTGGTTCTGTCTCCTGAGCTCACATGAGTCACATCAATTCTTACGTACACCGGGCTTACGACAACAAATATTAGCAGTGGTTTGACTCATACGACAGACGCATGTCATATATTTGAATGAAACCCAAGTTTAGACAAACCCCATTAGGGTAAATGGTATATAACTCTAATATATCTTCGAGAAAAATTGGGGTGAATGGAAAGCGAGTCGCATAACAGATAATTTCGAGTTCTTCAGTACCTCTGCGATGGACATTTCATTCAGAAGCCCAGCGCCTGAAGTTTCCGTCAGGTCAACATACTAGATCAAAAGAAAAAAATATCACATAGATTTGTCCTAACACATTTCTAACACTGTTTCTGGCGAGAATCTATAAGCAAAATGTATTATTAACGTGTTTTATAAATATGGTTTCTCTCAATGGCCACAAACTCTATGTTGAACATCCATGTTTGTATAACTAAAATTTACCTTAAACCTAATAACAGGAACACTTTCGATTGCTTTTATTTTGGCAATCAACGATACTTTCTGACGCATTTCTTCTTCTGCCTAAATGAGAAAAAATACATGATTTACAACATTCCTTAAAACACATTATCTTCATGGAAACCTATCATTTGCTAATGTCGCAGGCTATTTTCGCTCAATTATAAAGTTATAATTAATTGACTCACTTCTTCCAAAGCCCTTTTCATTATTTCTCGACTCTCCTTATTCACTTCTTGCACTGAGGAAAAATGTAGAAAGTGGAGTTACAAAGCTGAGCTACGTATTCAGCTGTGGCCAAATTAGGTGCTACAACTGTTTTGAAGCATTTGAACACATAGCTTTATGAGCTTATGCACATACGTTGCCTTGTGTTGAAGGGGTTGGACGGTGAAGATGACATGATTTGATTTTTTTAAAAAAAATTTTAGCAAAAAATTGTCGTCTATTGCCTGAACAAGAGCAATACTGAGAGAGACTGTTATAGATGTGATACGAAAAAAGAGAAAAGGTGCTTTGTCATTTCTTACCAAGTTTCTGTTTGTAGTTCTGGAGACGTTTTCTCGATTCTTTCGTATTTTGATGTCCCTGCATTGTCTCCTCAACCAAACGTCTGTGGAATATGATAGTTATGTTGTGAGTAGTTTGATCCAGGCCCGAGCAAGAAAAGAAGGCTTGATCACAACTGTGATATACCAGGGTAGCGCTATAGATATCCACTCTGCATGGTTACAGATTTGTCAACTTTGACTATTTATTGATTCTTGGAAGCCATATCCAATACTATAGCATCTTAGATTTAGTGAAAATTATGGTTCTTATAACTTAACATAGCCACAAAATTTCGACTGGTTCCATGAAGAATAACAAAATATTTAATTAATTAAATACTGCAGGATGATTTTCATTTCGACAACCTTTCTGGGCGTTGATTGGCTGAAAAATGGCGCGAGATAATGTGGTTTGTACTAACGTGCGCACGAAAACCACTTTCCGCTTTTTAGTCTCACCTCATGTCTTGTTCTTCTTTAAATTTTTTCTCTAAATATTCCTTGATCATCTCCCTCGTCTAAAAAATCCCAACATTTTCCAGTGTTGCTTAGAATTTGCTGAAATACCGTAGTAAAAATGAAGCTGCAATTCACCAACCTCTTCCTTAATCTCAGCAACTTTGCTTTGGTTCTCCCTGATTAAGTTCTGCCTCGCCATGATTGCTTCTTCATAACTCAACATTCCTTCCTGTCAAAACAAAACACATTTGAAATTTGCGTATGGTTCAGCAGTGGTTCAATGCTCGTGTATTATCACAATTACTGTTTTCAAAGGGGTTGAGCTTAGGATATAATGTCAACCAAGAACTTGTGAAGTTACATTCATCGCAAATTCTTTGCATCGTATATATAGCCAAAAAAGAAGGAAACCCATCTGGAAAAATGAAGATTTCACCCTCTGGAAGAGAGTCCCCACCCTCTGAGATACCGAGGTCTTGATACAGATTAGATGAAACGATAGAGCTTCATTGAACTTACCAATCTTCTTCGTTCAATGTCTGCGAGCTGTTCTTCCATATCTTTCTGCACGAAGAAAAAATATTCACATTTGTGTTCATAATAGACACTTTAATGCAAGTACAACTATAAGTGATGGGTATGGCGGACAGACAGACAGGCATGCAGACGGTCAGGCAGGCAGGCAGGCGGGCAGACAGACAGGCAGACGGTCATGCCGGCAGGCTGGTCGGCAGACAGCAAGTTGTACAGATACCTTTCTCATATCTTCTTGCCATCTGTAGAAATCCGTAGCATCTTTACCACCCTTCTCTAGTTCCATCAGCCTACAAAAAACAAAAATAGTTAAAGTATGAACTAAACAAACTTTAACCTCAAAAAGCGACCCAAACAATGATTAGAAACAAAAACAAAACAAACAAAAAATAGTTAAAACACTTCACACTTTTTTATCTCATCTTGTTCTCTTTTTTGATACAACTGTCCCTCTCTCATGATCGTAGCTGCGTTCAGTTTGATGGGAAGATTATCATGCTAGAAAATGCCAAAAGTTAGGAATAATTTAACACACTATTGTTTAAATTATTATGCCATTTCATAAATTAATTGAAATGTGGTAGATGGTGTTGGTTCATTAGCTGCATGAGGTGGGATGCACGTGGAGAGTTTAATAGATAAAAATAGCTAAAAATAGATAAATTAATATAAAAATCCGCAAAACAATAAAATTGCCGTCGTGTAGATCGCGAGATCTATTTACAGACGGATAAACGAACATCTGACTAACAGTGGCAAGATGATTGAAACAGCTCTTGGTAAGATCAGTGGCGTAGCCAGCCTGACAATTTGTCCCGCTATGCTAATATCTTGGTGTTTCATTGACTGTGAAAACAATAGATTTCTAAAGACACGAATAATTATAATAACTCGAAATTTACATAGCTGGACAAAGTCGTCAGGCTGGCTGCGCCACTCCGTAAGATTTTTAAAATCTATGTGATTTATACCATCAATTCTCCCGCAAATTTCACATGCAGAGCCTATACAATATTCTCTGCAGAGAGAAGCATCATACTGTATAGCATGCTTACCAGCTCGTCTTTGCTGGCACAAAAAAAGGGCGAGGCACAGACCCACCAGCCAGAATGACTTGAGGCAAGTGGTCAACGAATGCTGGCAGGGTATTGAACGTGCGACATCAAAAAACCTATGGAATCTATGCCAGCAAGAATAAAGGCCGTTTCAAGAGCAAAAAAGAGGGACACTAAGCATTGTCATGTAATGCATGTTTGCACATTAACATACGTTAAATGAATATCATAACATCTCATAGTTGTTGTGCAGCGTGTATTTTTCAGTTTACTTATTTCTAGTTCACTTATCGGTAAGGTTTTTCTGTAGAATATATATACATATATATACTATTCACTCGAGTGCGTCTGTCTCATAGCATATACCGTGCTATTTGAGAGAATATTCGTCCACTCTGATTTCATCAATCGTTAACCGACACTTATTTAGTTACAAAGTCTAAACGATATCGAAAGAAAATGGCCTAAAACGGACACTCGAATTCTGAGAATCGGAAATCGATTCCAGGAATTATATTTCCGTTTATAAGGTTCAAATTGTTGGCGCCATTTTCAAATGTGCACTTGATTCCGGAATCTCAACTGAACGTCCTCGCAGTTTTGACATGGCGATGAGAGAGAGAAGAGAAGAAAATGAAGATCCCAAAACAAAAACAGTCCGGGGGGAACGCCTAAGATGGAGCGTGTGGCGTGAGGTCATGGTACCATACGATATCGGCGCTGAATACCCCGAGATTTATTCCCCTCGAGCTGCTCGTCATGGCGTTAGAACGCACTTTTACAACGAAAAAACTCTTCAGAAACTTGACAGACAATGTTCTAACGAATACGAGAATTGTTGTGGGGTTTATGAATTAAAAGTTGAGAACGACGATCAAGAAGCAGTTGTTTACGTTGGCTCTACACATCGAGAAGATGCGAGTTCTCTGTACGAAAGGATCAGAGAATACATGACCCACGGAAGCCACATAAGAAAGATAATTCAAAGGGCTCTTGATCGTGATTTTGAAATCCATGTTCGATGGTTGAAAATAAAGGAAAACCTCTGCCCTGGAATAGACGATGATGAGTTGGCAGAAATTATTGAAAACACGTATCTGGAAAAGTATGATTACGCTTGGAATAAGCTTTCCAACGATCAACGGAGACAAATTTTTGGCATCGCGGTTAGAATATAAACAAACTTATTCTCAAGGAGACCTGGTATTTTATAATAGAAATATGTTTGTATTGTCTAAGTATGCCATTACTCTAACTACTTGTTATGAACGAATAGATAGCTTCGATATAGACTAAACGGCATCATCAAATTTTAATTAAATGTATCAAATGTGATGTAACTTAGGCCCCGTTTACACTATACCGGATTCCCTTATCACGATATCTGGTTAGTAGCAAATGCTTATTATTTTGACCATGTTTAATAGATTTGGTATATTTATTTCGATCTGAAACAGTAAAATTTTTATGCCTTTTAATAGCTACAAAATTTGACCCACTCCGGAAGCAATCCGGTATAGCGTAAACGGGGCGCTACTTTGATAGCATTCTAATTCGCGTTATCTTACTTATGCAAGCTTTGTGATTCTTAATATCCTGTCTTTGCAATCAATAAATGAAATATATGGTTGTGTGCAGTTATCCGTTACACCGATGGCTACAATTTGATCACATTTTAAAAATAATCACGAAATTTTAACCCGACACAGAAAATAACCCCGGCCGCTTTGTCTGTTTTTCAGAGGATGAACATCAACTTGCTGAAATATAACAGAAAGATCTACTTCGGCGAATTTTGTCATGTCGCAAAATGACATCAAAATTGAAAGTACTTAAATGGGCATTCGGATTCGAGGAATCACAAACTATAGTTCCAGGAATTGTATCTTGGTTGCCATTGCCAACAATTTCGGTCGTATGTATGCCTGTCATGCTATGGCAGCGAAATTACAGAATTTGCATATGAAAACTAGCTAGAAAATTGCCAGATTATAAGGTTACGATAGTCAATGAGGTGAAAATTATCAGATTTTACTTGCTAAAGGGCAATTCTTCAAATTTCGTCTTCTTATTTTGGGTATAATTCGAGAAGTATTTATAATTTTGCACTCAATTTTGGCAAAAGGCTAATCGTTAGCAGATTTTCTATAAATGTAACATGAAAATGAAGGATCCTATGGACTTTAGTGTTAATAGTATACGCGTCTACATGGTCTACGCTGGAAGAACCATATCCTCAAAAGGTAAAATAAATTCGTTATCACCTAATTTTTAAACAGGGCCATTGATCTTCATGGCAGCAACAAGATCCTATTTTGGCAAACGTAAAAAGTGACGTTGATTTTAGGAAATTTAGCGTTCTTAATTCTATAACTATACATTTATATTGCAAGTTCGACTGTGTTCATTGGTGCATCCGCTATCGAACAGAACGTATCGCGGACTCATACATTGTTGATAATGGCATTATTGGCGCCATTTTTGAAGAGACAAGATTCAAATTACCTCTCAACCAAACGACCTCGTAGTTTTGACCATATTTGACATGAGGAGCAGAACGGATAGAGAAGATGAAGAGCAAGACCCTAAATCAACAAAGTTCAGGGAAACGCGACTAAGATGGAGCAAATGGTATGAAGCAATGGTTCCACGTGTAATCGGCGAGGATGACACAGAACTTTACTCGCTGCGTTCCGCTCCGCCGGGTTTCAGAACACAGCATTATTACAACAAGAAGACTCGTAAGCGGCTCTTAAAACAATGTCCCAAGAACGAAAAGTGCTTGGGAGTTTACGAATTGAAAATTCTTAAAGGCAGCAACACAGCAGTTGTGTACGTGGGGTCAACTCACCGACAAGCTGGAAGATCGATGTATAAACGCATTAGTGAATATATGAAAGACGGAAGTCATATTAGAGAAATCATACAAAGAGCTCTGAATAAGAAGTTTAAAGTCTATGTTAGGTGGATGAAATTGAGCCCAGGAGATTCTCTCAGAAGAGACGGGAAAAAATTGGCGGAGGAGCTTGAAAACAAGTTTCTCGGGAAGTATAACTACGCGTGGAACGAGCGTTCAAATGGTGGGAGAAGAGAAATTTTTGACATTGATGTTGATATATAGTTAGTTACACTTAGATTGCTTTAAATCGATAAATTTAGTATAAAGATTGTATAGCTACTGAGAACTGTAGTTTATTTTACTATATCCACATTCCCAACTATACTTGCTATAAGCTATATATATAAATACATGCATGCATGCACTTTAATAAGTTTCTATAAGTAGCAGCTAGCCTATATTGTATGTTATGCAGTTGTGAATTTAAGCGAATTAAATTCTTAGTTGTTCTAACTACGCTTTGGTTAACGCACTCTTATATTTTCACGATTTGCAACGCAATTCTAGATCCAATATTCTAGCTAAGAACTTTCAAAAAACAACTGAATAAGTCCTGATATTTTGAATATCATATATATACATATACACCCGTATATATATATATATATATATATATATATATATATATATATATATATATATATATATATATATATATACACCCATTTGCAAAAACGTTGGCCGCAGATAGATAGATAGATAGATACTCGAAGTGTAATTAGAATTGCATATGATTACATTTGCATGGGATTTCAATCATATTACACAACATATGCAATTCTAATTAGGGTATCTATCTATATATCTATCTGCGGCCAACGTTTTTGCAAACGGGTGTATATATATATAAATAAATATATATATATATATATATATATATATATATATATATATATATATATATATATATATATATATATATATACCCGTTTGCAAAAACGTTGGCCGCAGATAGATATATAGATAGATACCCGAAATCTAATTAGAATTGCATATGTTGTGTAATATGATTGAAATCCCATGCAAACGCATTCATATGCAATTCTAATTAGACTTCGAGTATCTATCTATCTATCTATCTGCGGCCAACGTTTTTGCAAATGGGTGTATATATATATATATATATATATATATATATATATATATATATATATATATATATAGTGGATCTAGGAAAGGTTGTCCGAAAATATATACATATATACAAATAGTTGTGACATGTGACCACATATTTCGATCACGTGTCGCACTTAATTACGCATGCAAAATCGTTAAATTCATAGCTGGCAAAGCGTAAACAATGTGACAACAGGCTATTAGTAAAATATATACCTTCATTTATTTTATCTGAGAGCCCGTTTATCACCGAATGTCAGCGTTTTCTAATTGATCGGCGATTTCCCTAAGGTATAACTCTGGATGTCTGAGAATTATTTCACATATTGCCAGTTCCTCATGCTGGTAAGTGTTGTGCTACAAAGAGGCCTGCCAAACTTATGGGGCAACGTAACGTTACCAGTATTAATAAACAGGTTGAAAACGCG